CCAAAGCTCTGGGAAGGGGGTGGTGGGAGTTCTAAGTATTCAGTTATTTAAATTTCTGCTAAAAGGGTTTTATTCTCTTTACAATAACATCCTTTACAAGAAAAATATTGCAAAGTGGTAAAACGCATTTTACATCTCATTTTTTAAAAAATCTCTTGGCTTTGAGTAGAACCATGAATAAAACAGAGAATAAAAGAGAGTGTAACTGGATTTACCATAATCACTGAAATAATTAAGGAACGCTCTCCACTTCCCCATAAACATAGAGTTCCACTCTGTCAGGTTCTTTCTCTGTGTCTCTCTGTGCCTCTCTCTCTCTCCTCCAGGCACTGTGACTGTTCTGGAAGTGTATGTATCCCAGGATCCTGGGTTGGTATTTCCTTTTAGTACCTTCCCAAGTCACTCTGTGCAAGGTTTACAGTTCTTTCCTTGATTACATTGTGCCCAAAGTGTTAACCCTGTTAGCAGTCACTGCACAGATTTCCTCAATGAGACTCTTGTGCGCCCGACAATGTGACTATTTATCTGTAAAGTCACTACCATTGACATTTGTGCTGCTCAACGTGGTGTTAGCAGTGCTTACTTTGTGTCACTGTTTCTCTTCAGTAACCAAGAAAAGCAAAACAAAGTACAAATAACTGCTTATTCAGAAAGAAATCTCAGATTGTTCCTTAAACCTGCTCCAGGCAGCCCATACAGACTTTTGAGTGATCTGGAAAATATGAAAAGCCCTTGGCTGGGAGACAAAACCCAAACTGATCTGCGGTGATGGCAAAAGCAGAAATAGGAGCTCCATAATAAAAATAAATTTCTGTACGGCTGATCGTGGCTTCAGGAGGGAGGAGAAGTCCTCAGAAGCTGAAGTGTTATCTGCACAGCCGTTGCTTGGGGCACAGAGTGTGGGGAGGGAGGGGAAAGGGGCTTTGCTTCAAGGCTGGTCGCTCAATTGTGGGCTGATTGATTGAAAAAGGCAAATGGGGCCGCCATCTCCCTGCCAAGGGTTTTATTCTGCCTCAGCCCTCCCTGGGTGCCTGGAGTGTGGACTCTCTGGCCCTCACCTGCTGCTTTGTTCCAACAAAGCTGGCGTCTTGCAGCCGCCGCCACTCACTCCTGCAAGCCGTTGTTCCGGCTGTCCTGAGTATGTAAAACCCTGCCACCCCCATCTGCCCAGCCACCTGCCTCCTTGTCTTTAAATATCTTCCTGCAACCCCACTGCTTCTGGGAAGCTCTCCGGAATCGTTGCCACCCACTTGTCTCTAACTGCCGACACACTCCTCTCCCAGAGCCACTCCGAAATTGACCATGTCTCATTTCTGTTGATTGTATGTCACAGCAGAGGGGGAAGCACATGCACCCTGAGGCAGCCGGGCTAGGGTTGATTAACTGAATTTGTCCCTTGCCAGCTCTGTGACCTCTGGCCACAACAGTCATGATGATACCTGGACAACTAGCGAGCTCTCGTGGAGTGCCAAGCCAGCGCTCAGCATGTCTCTGGCTTCCTTTTACTGCATCCCCATGTTAAAGCTATGAGATAGGGGCAATTATTCTCCTTGTTGTACAGACCGGAAAGCTGATGGAGAAGTAAAAGGAACTTGGTCAATCAAGGTCAAACAGCTCTTTCATGGTGGAGCTGGAATTGGAACCTTAAGGGTCAAGCTCTTACTGGGACTCAAATACCAAGTGAAGTACCTTTATTATTTAATTTTCTCAGTAGCCTAATGAAGTGAGTATTATCCACATTATACTGATGGGGCAAGTAAGGGCCAAAAAGTTTTAGCGGCTCATCTGGGACAGGAAGCAAGGGGGCAGGGCATAGCCATTAAAGGAATGACACAGGAAGTGAAGATCCGACTCTCATAGAACTAGAGCTTCATTATACGCTCATTGAAATACGTTGTCATGGGAAACGGCATTCCCCCAGGTGCCATGACAGCTTTAAGGCTAACTATAAAAGGTAAAAAAGTGGGCGGTGGCCCAATTCCTGGGAATCCCTGACCCTTCCCCAAAGTAGTTGGAATATTCCTCCCACTTGTTAGCGTATGAAGATACTGAGCCGATAAAAGCTAACAACCCTGCACATCCTGGTCGCTGTCTCTGGCCTTCCGAGGTGGCCTGCCCTCCGTCTATGGAGTATGTATCTCTCTGAATAAATCTACCCGCTAATAATCCTCTACTGCGGCTCACCCTTGAATTCTTTCCTGCCCGAAACCAAGGACCCTCACTTGGTGGTGCACGTCCCAGGGACTCACCTGAGACCTGGGACACAGCCCTCCTCTCCCACCCCATGTTCCTATGTCACATCCATCATCATGACTTGAGGAAGTTGGCAATGCTTCCAAGCAGGAGGCTTACACCTGCAGTGGGGGAAGAAAACAGCGCGTGTGTTGTGTTCTAATGAGTTTGCAAAATGCCGAGTCAAATCTAACTAAGCAAGTTTTCTTTTTTTCCTTCTAATTTTTTATTTGTTTAACCATCGGGCTTCCTAGAGTCTTGAACGTGGCACAAAATGTGTGCTGTAAGTCTCCAAAAAGAGATCTCATGGGCAGCCTTTTCAGATGTGTTGGACCATGTAGCTGCTCTGGAGATCCACTTAGTAATGCTTTTTTGCAGTAATGCTTCCCTGAATACGTTTGGAAAGCACAACACTACACTATTTAAGGGACAGCACCTGCAAGATAAGACTAGCTAGAGGTGGACTGGTTGTTGCTGTTGCTGTTTAGGAGGGAGTGACAAGGTACGCCAGGCGCTTCCCAGCCTGGGTGAGCTGTTGAGCCTGCCAAGGGCAAGTGGCTGCCCTGGTCCTCAGAGCCTGGCCCCCATATGTCATTTGCTAATTCATCTGTTCATTGAACTCGTGTTTGTTGTTGTTGCTGTTTTGCCTGAGCTCTGTGGCTTTCTGGGTTCTTCCTGCTGGGTTCTCATGTGGGATCAAGCATTTCACAAGGTAGCTTCTTGTTGAAAATCTAATAAAATTAAACTCAGGGTAGAGTTTGGAGTCAGCCCCAGCCCTAATGTAGGTTGGCATTTACTGTAGACATTCTGTAATAACACTTCCATTTATTCAGTGTTTATTATGTATGGGGTTTAACATGGGCTATTTTATTTACTCTTCCTCACAACCTGTGGGGTAGATACTGCTGTAGAAGCTTCTACAATGACCCTGCATTTCCCCTCCCACCCTTGGGTGACCAATAGACTATAGCAGAGATGCTGGTAGGTGACTTCTAAGTCATAAGGCATAGTCATTGCAACTTCCGTCTTGGTGTCTTAGAGGGCTTGCTCTGGATGAAGCCAGCTGCCATCCTGTGAAGACACTCAAGCAACACTGTGGAGAGGCCCACATGGAGAGAAACTAACTTCCCAGTCACGTGAGTGAGCCTTTTTGGAAATAAATTCTCCATCCCCAGTCCAACTTTCAGATGACTGCGGACCCCAGTTGACATCTGACTGCAACCTCATGAAAGAACCTCAAATTTCAGACCCACAAGGATGGCTGTTGTTATTTTAAGAAACTAAGTTTTGGAGTGATTTGTCATAAGCAAGAAATAATTAATGACAGGTATTATTAATATCTCTCATTTCTCAGTTGAGAGAATGGAAACGGTAAGAGAGGTTACTTACTCAAGGTCACAGGACTTACTCAAGGTCACAGCCAGAGTTTATTTATGTAGCTGAAGAAGGATGTTGCAAGGACTCTCCTCCTCGTGCCCCCAAATACTGCCCCAGAAGCCTGCTGCAAAATCTAGAATTCTACTTCTAAGCTCATTTATTCAGGGCAGTTATGTGATAACACAGAAAGTTTTGGATTCTTTACCCCTCATGAACTTTAATTCCTCAGAGAGTAATATCATATACCTGGTTGAGGATGAAATACTTACTATGTTAAAAGTTCAGGAAGATTCTAGGCACTGGATGTTTTAAGTTTCCTTCCCTTCCAACTGCTCCTGTAGCATCAGGTCTCACTTTGGTGGTGAGGAAAAAAGAAGGTCAGTCCAGCCAACAATCTGTCGTTCCCACCCTAGAGGGAATTAGAGCAACAGGATCCAGTCCTAACTGGCAGGAGGCTGAGGAAGCAGACTTTTTGCTTGGAGAGCAAAGGACAGGAAGACATAATTTTTGAGTATGGTTAACTTTAGGAGCAGGCAGGCTTGGATGGATGCCCCAGAGGGCTTTTGGAACAGCTAGAGGGCACCAGGAGAGCCCAGAGACGCCACCAGAAGTGGGAAGGAACTTTCTTTACAAATTGATGTAAGGCCTGATCCATCCAAGCCGCATTAACAAAGGTGACCATTGTGCAAAGCATCATCTTGAATATCTCCTGCTTCAGTTTCACCCAGAAGAGGCTAGGCAAAGAATGCAGTGATTCTCTCTTTAAATTTCTTCATTTTTTGTTTTGTTTTTTCAAAAAGTCCTTGGCCCCAGGTAGAAATAACTTCAGAGATCCACAAAAACCAAAGTTAAATGTCTTGGTTGAGGTCACCCAGCTAAAGAGAGGCCGAGTTTGGTCTAGCATCCAAAAACCTGTGTTGTAATCACTATTTTCATCAAATCAATCTGTTTGGGGTTGAAAGGCACACGTTACTTCTTCCAAGAAGCTTCTTTTCATTACCACTGCCAAATCTTACTTATTTTGAAAAATTTCAGCATTAACATGTCGTCTGGCTTACCCTATTAAACACTATATTAGGCCAGTTTTTTGAACACCTACTATGTGCCAAGTACTCCACCATCTGCTAGGGATTTAGCAATGAACAAAAGGCAACTCCTTCTGCTTTTATGAAAGTTACACTTAGAGGTGGGGGCCGTAAGGCGTACAGTGCGTAGGATAGATGATATACAAATTGTGTAATAAGCTAAAAGGTGATGGAGAAAAGTAAAACAGGGTTTATGAGACAGGTGGTACAATTTATATAGAGATTGGTCAGGGAAGTTCTTACTGAAAAGGTGACATTTGGGCAAGACTTGAAAGAGGTGAGGAAGTGAGCAATGTGGTTACCTAGGGGAAGAGCACACCACTAATTTATATACAACTAGGGAATTACTCTTGGGTTCCTTCATGCTGGCAATTTTATTATTCTTCTGTCCCCTAGTAAATCCTCAGGAGTGTATATTCCATCTTCTACTTCCTCAGGTCTAATGTAAGCGCCTTCTGCCGAATGTTATTTGTACCGCAGGCTTTTAATAAATGCCTGTTGAATATTTTGGTTAAAGTCATTTTCTCACTATTGCCCTTTTTAGGCAAGAAATGAAGGGGAAACTACAGTAGTTTAGTACTCTGTCCAATAGTCTAAATTACTTAGAATGTACAAACCAACATTTAGCTGCATGATCCAACATTCTGGGATAGTATCCTTTGCCTTCCATAAACATTACATCTAAAAAGATTTTCGAAAGTCTTGGCTTCTCCTAAATTCAAAACAGGAAGCCCCTATAATCGCTAAGCTGTCTTTATTCACCTCCAAACCCCAAACTGGAATCCACCATGACTATTTTGTAATTATAATCTTTTTGTACAATGAGCTCTGACATTTTTTGAAAATGATTTCCTGCCTAAGCTAGGGATATCCTGTTACTGTTAATAAAATTCTTTGCCACCTAAATATTAAGGTGCCCTGAATTCACAAGGACAGAACTATACATGGCTGATAACTCACTTGTTCCTCTTTGATTTTTGCCAAAAGAGACATTTCACAGAAACACTTTCCAATTTCCTTTTGAACAAGACTCTCAGTTTTCATATCAATGAGTCTCTGACCTTGTCTGATTCAGTGCTTCCCACAAAGGTGCATAACCTGTGCTTCTTTTATTTGCTCTTGCTTTTGCTTTGAAAAGACACACTGAAATGCAAAAGAATTATAACAGTGTTGAAGAGCCTAAGGACCTCAACAATTATGGTGTTGGGGAAAATTTAACAGAAAATCAGAGTCAGAAGACAGAGTCAGCAGCTGAATAATGAGCTAACATTACACACACGAAATAGAGACAAGGCAACATCTTAATGAGGCTGAAAGGATTGGGGAATCAGAGGGTCTAATTCTCTAAAGGATAACTGAATACAACCCCAAATGGGGAAGGAAAACTTGTTGCAAGAGACAGATCAGATGGTGGGTAATAAGCAAATCAAATGTGTAAAGAATAGTTTGCTACTTTGACACCTGTGGTCATGTAAGCGCCTCTAAGAAAGAATATTGGGATAACAAGGGTGCAATCATTCCCAGTTTTTTCCCCCCAGTATTTCAATTTATAGCACACATATTCTGTCCCCATCAGTCCTCAAATGTATTCAGCAATGCTTTGCTCACCATCTGGGGAAATAAATGTCCAATCAAGCACCAACCATCCCAAATCTTAATCATTTCAGGATGTCAGATAAGAAAAAAAGGGACTGTCTTAATTCTTTCTACAGTGCGTATGCTACTACTTGAACATCTGGGGAGGGAAAAGCAGCTGCTTGCTCTGTATGTGAGACCTTGGGCAAAGTATTTACCATTCTGAACTTCACTTCCTTTAACTGTAATCCAGGGATAAGAATACAAAACCTAGACGGTGCTTAGGAACAGAAAAACAACAGCCAACTTACACCAGTTTCCAGGCATGCTTTTCAACTCTTTATATATATAAATGTATTTAATCCTAATGACAATCCTATAATATAGGTATCACGATTTACAGATGTGGAAACCAAGTGCAGAGAGATCCAAGCCATTTGCTGTCAGCCACACAACGGTGGAATGGGCTGCAGAGACACCTACTCAACTGCCACTGAAATATTTCTCTAATGACGGATGTAGTGCACATAGTCAGTACTAAATAAACAGTTATTATTGTTGTTATGGGGAGGAGAAACAATATTTCTTACTTAAGCAGATTCAGTTACGAATTGATTGCTTCCCTGAGACTACCAAATGCATACCAGTGGGAAGAAAATCAGAACTGATAAAAACAGACCCTGTAAAAATAATTGGACCTGGTACAACATTTCCTTTTGGAACACACGTCTTAGATTTACAATTGGGCTGAACTGACTGGTTATCTCAAAGAAAGGACTCTGTTAAATGAAAATGGCAATTCAAGCTAATTGGCTAAATCAATTATTTAGTTTTACTTAAAATAATCAACCTGTTCATGAGGCTCCAGCCTTGTTCCTATGACTTTGTGGTTATTTGGGGGTATAAAATGGAGTTAAAATATTTCTCCTTTCAATCAATAAATTTGTAAACAGGTCACATCATCGAAGTGGTTGATTCTTCCACCGACGCGTTTTTATGTTCAGAATCCATCACTTTTGCTGATGTTTATAAAGCCCACTTACACATTTCCTTGTTGGATATTGTCAGAGAGCCTGGGGGAGGGATTTATTCTTGACACCATCTCAAGGTAAGGTGATAAAAATGACAGTCCAGTGGAGCACTTTCCACAAGGTGTCAAAATATATCAGTGGAGATATTTTATCAGACTTCATTACAAGGTGGCAGAATGCAAAAGCTATGCTTGTCATTTTTCTTTTACTATGAATATATTTTGTGAACCATTATGATGTCAGGACAAAAGTGGAAAGCTAATGATTAGTTGAAGAAAAAAACAGAAGAGAAATGAACTGAACTTACTTGCAAGGAGATAAAAATAAACTATCAGTTGCATCAGAAATAAGGAGCATCTAAAGAAACAAAAGAACCATTATAACAGACTAATTATGTGTGGGCAGTAGGTCTAGTGGTTAGAACAAGGACTTGTCTGAATAAGTCTTTCAGATTCAAACCCTGACTGCCACTTCCTTGCTATCTACTGTATAAGTGTTAAATATTGTTATTGTCTTTGGTTCATTTGCGTGAGTTATAATAAAAACATAAGTTTGCCTAAATTATGGTTCCTAGTAAAGTAAGAATGAGGCAAAAAGCCAGTCAGCCTGGTTGTTTCCACCTTTGGGTTATTGTGAGTGGCACTGCAGTGAGCATGCACCTTAATGACATTTTAAAAAATCCATTTTATAGGCATTGGTATGGCACCGTCATGACCAGCCAGACTGCCTGGATTTGAATCCTGGCTCAGTCCTTTACATTTACTAACTCATTTTGTCCTTTTGTTTTTTTTTTTCCTACTATTATCTCACTGTTCTTATTCTACTATTAGCTTATAATAATATCCATACAGTATTGGCATTGTTATGAATCCACATTTTGTAGAGGAGGGAAACTGAAGCTCAGAGTGGTGAGATCTCTCTGCTCAAAGATACAGAGCTAGTAAGTGGCAGAGGTGGGATTTGAACCCAGGTCTGGTTACACCTAAGTTGGTGCCCTTGCTGATTATTTTTTTCTCCCCATAAGGAAAATGTTTTGATGAGGTGGAGAAAGATGGAAAAGTTAAGGGGGCAAATACTTCTGGGTAGGAGGAAACCTGGGGATGGGGTGCAGTTTCTTGAAGTAGCCAAGCTCAGGGCTGCCTGGGCCAGACAGGAGGAAGAAGACCTGGCAACAGAGGGCCACTATGGAACTTTTCATCCATTTCTTGACTGTGCCAGGGTTCAGCCCTAGAGGTCCAAGCACACTGACCCACTCAAGAGGAGTTCCTCTCATTTCCCTCAGCTACATTTTTGTTTTTTTTAATTTTGTTTTGTATTGAAGTGTAGTTCATTTACTGTGTGACTTTCAGGTATATAGCAAAGCAATTCAGTTATACATACACATACATATATGTGTATTCAGATTCTTTCCCATTATATGTTGTTGTAAAACACTGAATATAGCTCCTTGTGCTACACAGTATGTCCTTGTTGCTTATCTATTTTACATATAGTAATGTGTATCTGTTAATCTTAAACTCCAAATTTGTCCCTCCTCTGCCCTTTTTGCTTTGTTTTCTATGTCCATGAGTCTATTTTTGGTTTGTAAATAAGATTTGTATTTTTTTTAGATTCTACATATAAATATATGATATTTTTCTTTCTCTTTCTCCCTTACTCCACTTAGTATGATGATCTCCAGGTCCATCTATGTTGCTGCAAATAGCATTATTTTATTCTTTTTAATGGCTGAGTAGTATTCCATTATATATATATGTATATATATATATGGCATACATTATATATATATGTATATATATATATGCCACATCTTTCTTTATCCAGTCAACTGTTGATGGACATTTCGATTGTTTCCATGGCTTGATTATTGTGAATAGTGCTGCTATGAACATTGGAGTGCATGTATCTTTTTGAATTAGAGTTTTCTCCAGATACATGCCCAGGAGTAGGACTGCTGGATCATATGATAAGTCTATTTTTAGTTTTTTAAGGAACCTCCAGATTGTCCTTCATAGTGGCCACACCAATTTGCATCCCCATCGACAGTATAGGAGGGTTCCTTTTGTTCCTTTGTTTTGTTTTGTTTTGTTTCAACTGCAGCCCAACTCAACTGAAGAGGTGAATTGGTCCACCACAAACACCTGCAAGCTTTCTGCCTCATTCAGGACAACATCCCATCCACCCTCACAAAAGAAAAAAAAAAAAAAAAAGAGAGAGAGAGAGATAAAGTGAGAAGAAAGGCACTGAGTTTATTAAATTTCTTTTAGGCTCTGCCTGATTCTCCATCCCACTGCCTAACTTGTTTTGATTTCTCCCAAGGAAGCCCATGGGTATATGCTGATTTGCTTGGCTATAGTCATGGGTACTTTTAAGAAAAACAAAACCAAGAAGAGCTTGAAATTCTCCCGTGACTGGCACCCTCAGCCAATAATTGTTTTATTAAGTGCTGACTCCGCCTGTGGAGCTGAGTTAATGGAGGTGGGAAAAAAAAAATCAGGGCCAAAACAAGGCACCATTCAGATGTAGGACTGAAAATATCAAGGTAACAGAGTTTCTGTACCCAGCGCTACGGAGCCAAGTTCTACATGAATGAAAGGAGAGCGGCTCTACATCCACCCGGTCAAGCTATTCATAGTGACCCAGTGAGAGGAAAAAGACCTATTACTCATGGCCTCTCTCCCAGCCAACTTAAGATTATTCCCAATGGGAGAGT